CTTAATAAAAAAGCTTTAAGAAATATACTGTTTATCCGACTCGAGCTTTAAATTATCGATAACACGAGATTATAATAAATCTTTGCAAGTAGCTAAGCAAAAGAGCGTCTTCTTAGCGGTATAGATTAAAAAACACCGAGCTATTTATAAGTTAACGAAGATAAACAACTTTTACGAGACGATAAATACACTCGCGATAAAAGCATTTTTAAAAGTTATTAGCGAAAAATAATTATTAACTTAAGCGTCGCTAAAGCTCGCAAAAGTCATTCGAAACGACGAGCTGTTATTGCTTTAAAAGCGCACTTTTTACGACTACTTTAATTAATACGAAAGCTAAGTCGAAAAAAAGATTAATAATCCGAACTTTAACTTTTTTAACGTATTCGCTACTTTCGAAAATCAAATCATTCGTAGCACTTTTAAAAGTAATAAAGCTAACGACATTGCTTTTAAGTAGTCCGATAAACGCTTCGATAGCTTTAAAAGACTTGCTAAAGGTTTTAAATGCTCGTGCTTTAAAAAGAGAAACTATTATTAAAACGCAATCAAGTATAAGATCTTTCGCTATTATTTTAACGGTTTTAACGAAAGTAGATTCGCAAAACCGAACCGAAATAATATCGTCGCTATAAAAAAAAAGCTTTAAAAGCTTAAGTTTAAAGCGCTTCGAAAAGAGATTACGAAAGAAAGTTAAGCATAAATTCAAGTCGATAAGATCGTTTTAAAAAACAAAAAGAAGCAATCGAATGATAACGATAAGTTAAAATACTTTAAAAAGATATTAGCAATTATTATCGATCTCGAGCTTTTTAATACGCTCGATAATCTTGCTTTTAACGGTCTTTATAGCACGGCTGATAATAAGCACTAGTTATTTAATAGTACTTTTTTCGATAATTACGACGCTATTCATTTTATCAACGATAAAAATCTTTTAAAGCTAAAGTTAATTCAACGCTTTCGCTTAACCGACTTTATTAAAGCTAAAACGAGTAGTTTCTTAATCGTTAAGCGAAGTATTAAAGTCTTTAAGAGAGCTTTAAACGGACTAAATAAAGTTAAAACGGAAGATTTAAAGTTAGAAAACGTCGTTATCGTTAAAAAGTTTAATATTAATATCATTTCGAAAGCTCTTTTAAGCAAGGCTAGCGTATAATACTCGAGATATAACGCAACTCTTCGCTACGAAAAAGTTAAAGAAAGCGTCGTATTAAGAAAGTTAAAAAGGAAGTTCAACTTTACGTTCTTGAAATATAAGCTATTTAATTATTCTTTGCTTTAATTGATTCGTAGCTTTTTTTACTTAATAATATTCTTTACAATTTAAAAGCGCTTGCAAATACGCTACAAATTTTAAAAGAGTAATGTCTTTCGAGCTTTAAAAAAAGATTTATCGGTACTTTAGCATTTATAAACAAGTCATTTAAGCAAAGAAGCGCTCGAAGCGCTAACTTATAATATTAAAGAAATAAGACTTAAAAGAATTATTAAAGTTAAATATAAAATATATGCTATTACGTACGCTTAACAAATCATATTTCGCCGTACGTTAAATAATAAAATAGCTAAGCTATTTTATAAGATCGCTTAAAATCTATTCGACTTTTTTAACGGTTTTAACAAAAGCAAATAGTTGTTAATAATTAAAGATGAATACAATAAAAAGCTATTCGGCTTTATATTAAAAGACAAGTTGCAATTAACAGTTATAAAAGTGCTAAAAGAATTTAAAGTATAAACGAAACGCAAATACGATCTTTTAATAACTATTATACGCTATAATAACGATTCTTCGATAATCGTAATCAACGTTATCGGCTCTATCGAATATTAAAAATAAGCGAAAAAAGTTAAGATCGAGTTAAAGCTCTTATTATCTTTTAATTACGAACTTAATAAAAGAGCCGAAAGAGCTAAGAAAGAAATGATAAAACGGTTTATTAAAATGAAAGTAAAAGCAAAGCTTTTAAAAAAGCTTTAACTTAAAACTATATTAACCGCTATCTACTTTTATAATATAATACCGAAAGCGAAGAGCTTTATAAAAAGTCCGAATAAAGTATTATAGCTTTAGTTTAAGCAATATTTTAAATAATACGATCCGGCGATTTTTATACGGATCGACACCGATTTAAAACTAAATTATAGCGGTTTGGTTGCGTATAGCGCTCGTGCGTACTTAATAATTAAAGACCGAGAAGCTCTTCGTAATAAAAGAGCTTTTAAAGTTAAATTAAAAAGACATATAAGCTACTTAGTTAAATATATAGCTTTTAATATATATAAAGTTTATATTCTTATGCTTTATAAAGTGATTGTTATACGCAACGTAACGTTCGATAAGACTTAATTTTATTTTAAAAACGAGAAAAAATCAATCGGCTAACCGATTAACGAGATTAAAAGCATCGTTATTAAATTAAAAGATATTAAAGACTCTAATCAAATAAAAGACGCTTTATCTAATATAAAGAACGTTGCAAAAGATCGCTTAAAAAAGACGAATGCAGCTAATATAAAAAGTGATTAGCCGTTAGACCTTATAAAAGTTGACTTAAAAAGATTTAATTAAAGCTTAAAGAATACGATTCTATTTAATCCGAGCGATGCATAAACGTTAAAAGCTTTAACTCTAATTAAAGACTTTATAAATACGTCTATACTAAAAGCAACTGCTTTACGAAACGATTTAATAGATCTTAACGATTCGAACTACACCGTTAAACGTCTTGCTAGCTTTTTAGCTAAAAGCAAAGGCGAAAGTGCTTTAAGACTGCTAGAAGTAGAAAAGAGCATCGTAAACGAATAAAAACTTAGCTTTAATAAAAAAGCGCGTATATTATACTTTTAAGTTGTTATTTAAAGCCGAAGCTCGAAAGGCTAAGCTATAAGCCGACTAACGAAAGCTTTTACGTTAATAACTAACGGAGATTCAAACCGAACAATTAAAAAAAAGCTTTTAAACTTTTTTAAAGCGAGTATTAATAATAAAAAATTAAATTATAAACATTTTAAATAAAATTTCAACTTTAATAAAAAGCACTTATCTATTAGTAACCGCATTAGAAAACGCGCGAGGATATACGCAAGTATTAATAAGCTTTTTTTAAATAACTCTCGCGCCGATTCGAACTGTTATTCGCGCGTTTTAAATTTTGTATCGACTTTTTAAGCTAATAGCGAACCCGTGCGCGAAGATAGCAAAGATTACGAGATATTATACGCTGTTATAGCAGCTGTTACTTCGTTTAAGCTATTATTAAAACAGCTTAACTCGCAAGAACGAAAATATTTAAAACCTTTTATTTATTAAAAAAAGCTATAACGACACTTATACGGCAAAGAGTTCAAGAATAGAGCTCTTATAAAGCTAAATAATCTAAAGAAAAAGAACTGCTAAAAAGTGATTCTTAAAAGCGAAGTTAAGTTAAAACTTATACTTTTTAAGTAAGTGTTTATATATAAAACTAATTCGTTCGAAGAGATCGTAAAGTTTAGATCGAAGATTATTATTAAAAGTGACTTTTAAGACGAATCTATTATCTATTCAACTTACGCGATTACGCTAATAACTAAATCTTTTAAAATTATAATAGTTATAGCAGCCGAATTTGACTTAAAAGTAAAACAATTCGATGTCGTTAACGCTTTTATCAACGCTATAAGATATACGGACAGCGTCTTAATCACGTGTTATCTTTTTAATAGTTTTAAGCAAAAAAGTCTGCTCGTAAAAGTCGATAAAGCTTTATATAAACTTAAAAACTCGCTAGCTTTATAATATTTCGACTTTATAAGCACACTCGATAAATTAAAGCTTATACTACTCGGTAAAGAACCGTGTATTTTTACGAATTTAAATAAAACGGTTTTTATAACGTTTTACGTAAACGATATTTAAATTATATATTATCACTTTAATCTTTTTAAAGCGTAAAAGATCATTAACGGTTTTAATAAAGCGTATAAAATCGAAGCGATAAAAGATATTAAATGGTTTCTTAATATAAAAGTCGCTCGAAACCGTTAGCGAAGAACGCTAACGCTTATGCACGACGCTTATATTAAAAAAATAGCTAAGAAATTCGAACTTACGGACGGACGCTGCTTAGCAACTTTATTACCGTTCTATAACTTAATTAAGAATAAAAAAATAGCTTCGCGAAAGCAAGTAAAAGAATATTAAAAAAAGGTTAGATCCGTATTATATATAACGATCATGCTACGCTTAAATATAGCTTTTATAGCTTTTTAACTTTTTTACTTTAGCATTAATCTAAGCGCGGAGCACTTCCGAACTATAAACTAGTATTTGCGATATCTATTTAGCTCGCGCTTTAAAAGTATTTAATATAGCTAGTTTAGCAAATCAAAGCTAGTAATAGCCTCTAACGCTTTTTACGCCGATAACGAAAAGATAAAGCGATTTTCTTAAAAGTATATTATGTTTTTATTTGAAAATGCGATCTTTTAAAAAGCTTTAAAGCAAAATACAATCACTATATCATCTATTAAAGCGGAGCTTCTTAACATAGCCTTTATAATAAAAAAGATTATAACGCTTTAACGGTTTTTTAAAAAGCTGTACTTTCGTTTTACGGCGCTTTAAGTAATTTATTATAATAATTAATAAACAATCAAGCTTATAGTTAATAAAAAAGAGCGTATCTTTATTAAGCTTCGTTACGTCGATATTTATAATATATAGCTGCGTTAAAAGCACTTTAAAAAGAGCTTTCAAATTTAATATCTCTTTATTAAAAAGATGTACGTTAACGGTTTTATAAAGAACTTGACTCGATAAAAGTTTAAGAGCTTTATTAAGCTTTTAAATTTACAAGACGCTCGCGCGTTAATCGAAAAGCTTTAATAATACGTATATGCTATTCACTTATTATATTTTTTTTTTTTATTTGCACGTAATTTAAGAAAAAGCATTTATTTAATAATCTTAACCGTTATTCTATCTTATCTTATACGCTTTTACCTTTCGCTTTTTATAATAAAAGATCGACTAAAGCATTTAGCAATCTTTTCACTTTAGCCCGGCGCTCTGCAAGAGTCATAGCAACAGCGAGCGCCGCCGCGAAAGCGGTAAGCGCAACGACTAGCGCAAAAGAAGCGACGATAATAAGTACAACGGAAGCGACGATAACTGCGAAAGCGACGAGAGCAGCGAGAGCGACGAAAGCAATAAAAGCGGCTAGCGCAAGCGCAAAAGCTGCTATAATAGCAGATTAAAGCTTTTGCATAAAGTCCGAAAAAAAGTTTTAATTAAAAAGAGCTATTTAAATTAAATCATTTCGTAAGTTAAAGAGCTTAACTTACGAAAAGGTAATATGCTCGAAGCGCTCCGCGTCATCGGACTACAGTTCGCTATTATAAGACTATTTAATCTAATAAAAGCTATATTTAAATTAAAAGTCTTAAAAGCAAAAGCAAAACTTATAAAGCTATCGAGATTACTTTTAAAACTTTTACTTCTACTCGCTAGATCGCTCGGACTACTAGCAGCACTTCTTAAAAAAGCAGCATTTAAAGCGAGCTATTATCGCATAGCATCTCGAAGACTTTAGCGAGCTTTTTATATAGCACTATTATCTTTAACGCTTACGAAGTTATCGAAAGCGGTATTAGCAACGGCAAAAGCAACGGTGCAATTGCTATAATTACTTTTAACATATCGAAAACAACGAATAACGCTCGTATCGCAATTATAATAATCTTTATTAAACTCTGATGTGATCTTATTATTAATGCATTTAATACACTTTAAAGCTTTAACGGTCGTTAGCATAAGCAAACGCTTAATAAAAAGGTTTAAAAGAAAAAGCGAAGCTTCGAAAGTAAAAGTGCGTAGTATAGCCGCCGCAGCCGCCGCAGCCGCCGCAGCTGTAATAGCAGCAATAGCTAAAGCAAAAAAAAAATTCTTTTAATAGTTAACATAGATATATTAATCTATTAAAAGCACTTACTTTTAAACGGCCTCGGCCGCGCTTAACGATTTTATTAGATTGAGTTACTTGCTTAAAAAGCATTGTATAAATAAATAAAAGTTAAGTGTTTATTATAATAAAAAAGAACGCGCTCTTACTTATATAACAACGCGATAAAGACGGCGCTAAAGACTTTCGTTACGTAATAAAACCGACTTAAAAAGAAATTGCATTCTTAATTAACACTTAATTAATAATAATAACCGCTATTTATTTATTTAAACTGCGATAACAATCTCTTTTATTTACATCGAGTTTAAAAAGCTTAATCACTTATTTTTTTTCTTTTCTGTTTGCTTGCAGCTTAATAGCTACGCTACTGATTTAAAAAGTGTGTTGTACGGAATAAGCATAGTTCTACTTAAGCTATATATAACATGTTATATAACCTCGCTTAATAGCGCTTTTAGCATATTAAAGCTCTTAAGTACATATATATAAATCTTGACGAGCTTCTTAAATAGAATATACTAAACTTCATTCAATTTACAAAATCTCTTTTTGATCTTAGTACTGGTAAGCACTACAAAACCTTATAAGTTTAAAGTGGGATAGCTAAAAATAATATATATAAGGCCGCTAAAAATAAAACAAATTTACGAATATTTATTAATTTTATTTAATTATTATATTTATTTATTATATTTATTAATTATATATATTATACTTTATAATTACATTGCATTATATTATAATAAACTAAAATTATTAAATGAAACTTCTAATTATGATTTCTCGCAATTTCTTAATTAACGCTATATTTTTATTTTGAATCGTTACTCGTTTAGCGTAAATAGCATATAAATTCGTTATTAAAAGTGATTAGTAAATCGATTAATAAATCGATTAGTAAATCGATTAGTAAATAAATATATAAATATTTACTTTTAAACTCTTTTACGAAGAATGCTTTTAAAGCTTTTTGTAAATATTTTAAAGCACTGCTTTGAAATTTAAAGTCTTGTTTAAAATCGTAAGTGATCTTTCGAATAAAACGCTAAAAGAAAGTCTTTTTAATAAGAAGCTCGATGCTTTTTTAATATCGTCGGATCTCTTTTAACGCAATAGTTATATAAATTATTAATTGTACTTAAGAATTAATTTATTAATTAATTGAACTTATTTCTTAGCTTATAGCGACGACGCTTTCGTTAGCTTAAACATTTTTTTTTCGTAATAATTGCAAACTTCTTAAGATATTTGCTTTTTTTAGATTTTTAACGAAAAGAAGTTTTAATTGCTAAAAGTGATTTGCTAACTGATAGAACGGAGCGAACAGCTTTAGCCGTCGAAAGTGATTTTTTAGCTCTTTTGTATTAAAAGAAAAGAATATTATTTTTATTTAAGTTTTTTTTATTATCGCTTTGCTCTTTTTCATTTATATTATTATAAAGCATCGTCTTCGTCGCGGTTTTTATAGTTATAATTAAGCCCGAGATAATAAGAGACCTTTTAAAAGCTTTTTACGCGAAAGCTTTTTTAATACGATTGCTAATAAAAGTAAAAAAAAGTTTAATAGCTACAAAAGAATTGTTTCTAGCACTTAAGTCGTAAGACGGAACTTCGTTTCAAAGTTAAGCTAATATACTCGCTTAGCTCGTCGATTATTATATTGCTTTTAAAACAGTTTTAAAATAATTAACAAACGAAAGAAAAAGGTTTAAAAAGATTAAACTTATTAAAAGCTATTAGTACTTATATTAATATTATTAAAAACGATGCTTTTATTCATTTCGGATTAAATAGCCGGAGTAAATCTAATTGCGTTTATTAAAGAAAAATTTAATTAATAAATATTTATTAATTATAAGTTAAAAACATTATCGGATCGAAGTTTAAGAAATAATAAATGCTAGTTTATATTTGCGCAAGAGTTTATTAGTATTTAAAAAGCGTTACTTAAAATAATAAAAATTAGCAATTATTAATTAATAAAGTAATTAATATTTATTAGCTTGACTTTAAAAAATTCGGCGAGAAAAGAACGGAGATAAATCGGTTTTTTATTATGTACTTGCAATACCGCGCGAGGTTTTAGAAATTTCTATAAATGTTTATTCGCTATTTGCAATTGATTTACTAATCAATTTATTAATTAAATATTAATCGAATAGCTATCGAGTTATAATAGCGCGGCGCTTAATAAAAGTAAAGTTAAGAATTTCTATAAATGTTTATTAGCTATTTGCAATTTATTTATTAATTAATTTATTAATTAAATATTAATCGAATAACTATCGAGTTATAATAACGCGGCGCTTAATAAAAGTAAAGTTTAACGTATTCGTAGCTAATTGAGCTTTGCTAAACTAAAGATAAAGATTTGCGTTAAGTAAAGTAATTAAAAAAGTATTAATAGTATTCCGATTAATTAAATATAAATTTATTTTATTTACTTTATAAATTTAAGTTTTCTTCTTTTACGCTTTCGCCGCGTATTATATTTGCTTTACTTTTTTATGCTTCGTCTTTATTTGCTTAACCCTCAGCCGCTTAACCTTTAGCCGCTTAACTTTTAGCCGCTTGACTTTTAATCGCTTGATTCTTAATTGCTTTATTAATTAACTTATTTTAGCTTGCGTCATTTCTTTTAGCCGTAGTACTTGGTATATCGGCAAAAAGAGGTCGGTTCGAAAGCAAAAGTTCGTTTAGTAAAAAAGCTATTTAAAAGTATTAATAAAAAGACTTAATCGCGATAATTTAATTTACGATTAATAAATTAATAATTTTAAATAAGAAAAGGACGACCTTATAAAGCAATAAATAGCGTTATATTTAAAAGCGTAGCAAATAAGAAAGCGATAATTATAATTGATTATTAAGTAATAATAAAAAGAAATCAGACTTTACTTTATAAAGTAAAAATTGCGCGAAGCGGCCGCTTTATTTTAATTGCGGCCGCTTTATTTTAGCTGCGGCTGCTTTATTACTTCGTAAATTTATTAGCGGCCGCGCTAAGATGTTTTAAAAATAAAATATACGAGTTTACTTTTAATTTTAATACTTTTATTTTATTACTTTTGATTTTGCTTTAAATAATTACTTTTAACGTTTAGCTTGCTTATAATACTATTTAATATAGCCGCTTATTAGCTTGATTCGATAAAAAATATTATTACAAATATAGATCAGCTTAATTTAATAAAAAGGATTAAAAAATCTATAATAAAAATCATTTTCTTATTTATTAATCTATTTACTAATTAAAATCGTTTTTCGTAAAATGCGGCCGATACGACGGCAATCGTAGCAGCAAGCAATCCGATGCTAAGAAACTTTAGCAAGCGCAAAGTAAGTATTTTTTTTATATAATATTTTAACTTTTATTAATTTATTAATTTTTCTTAAAAAAAAAGTTAAAAAAAAGCTAATTATTAATTAATCTTTGTACGATAAAAGCTAATGCTCGTATAATAAAGCTAAAACAAGATCCTTAAGCAAATGAGCTTCGAAAAGTTAAAAAACGAAATTAAGCGGCCGTTAATCAGCTTTTTACAATTTAAAAACAAATCTTAAAATATTCTTAAGCATTAAAAGCTGAAAGGAAAACTCGATAAGTCGAAATACGAAAGAATCTTATAAATAAACGGTACTTTTTCTTTTCTTTAATTTATTAAGCAATTTATTAATCGATTTTAAAAAGAATAAAAGCATTTACGCGGATAATCTTATTATGCAAGCCGCTTTTTTTATAGCTAGATTTAATAATAGAAAATACTTAAATAGCGATTAGATTAATAAAAGATTTAATTTAAACGAAAAGGTTTATAAGGAATTTAATTTGCGAAAAGACGAAAAGGAAAATGATAATATACTTTGCGATAAATACGTTTCGATTACTAATAAAGAGATAAAAAAAGCCACTCGGCAATTAATACGTTAGCACGCATAAGTAAGTTTTTATTTTATTTAAATATTTATATTTTACTAATAATATAAAATCACGTTATATAATAACCGTTTAGCAATTTCGTCGCTATTAATAAAGTGTAGCGCGATCTTTATTAATAAAGTGCCGAGCTGCTAATTTAAAAAATAAAGAAGCTTTCTTTAAATTAATAGCTTAAGACTTAGCAAGCACGGTTTTAAAACGAATTAAATAAGAATTTATTTTATTATGCTTTTAATTAATTGAATTAATATTATAACTTTTAATCATTATTTAATCAAGCTTTTTTACGTTTACTTTTCCTTTAATAAAAAAAAGTATTAGCGAGCTAAAATTGAAGCAAATACCGATAAAATTAAATACGAATTACTAAGTCTAGCCGCTTAATAAAATATAAAAGGATTCGAAAAGAATATTAAATTTAAAGAAGTTGATTGCGATCTTATTTTATTTCAACGCGTTATGCAATTAATTTAGAAAAAAGACGAGCTAGCTTCGGAGTTGTTTTACGGCGTTAAAGATAGCGATACAGAATTGAAATCATTGTTAAACTTAATGCTTAAGTTTATATAAAATAGAATTCACGATTAATTATAAATTTTGTATTTTATAAAAATACTTTTATTTATTTTATTTATTAATTATATTTATTAATAATACTTATTAATTATATTTATTAATTATATTTACTAATTATATTTATTAATCACATTTACTAATTATTATTAAAATGCTTTTCGCGATCGAAAGATATATTCGTAACTTCGTAAAGTCGTAAAATATATGCAATTGCAAAAGACTTTATCTGCTTTGTAAAGTTTAAAAAAGCTGACTTTTTTTATATAATTAATAGAAATCAAGTGCATTAGCTAACTATTAGGTTTTCTACTTAAGTTAAAAGTCTTTTAAGCTATAATATAGTAAGCTAAGCATGCTAAATGACTTATAAACTACGATTTACGAATAAACTCTTTTAATTATTATTAGCTAGCTTAAGTCTAATCATATTTACTAATTATATTTACTAATCACATTTATTAATTATATTTACTAATTATATTTACTAATTATATTTACTAATTATATTTATTAATTATATTTATTAATTATATTTACTAATCATATTTACTAATCATATTTACTAATCACATTT